AAAGCAGTCGGGTGGGCGGCAGGCGGGGCCTGGCGGAGCCACACCTCTCCTTCATCCCTGATCCTATCCAAGTCTCTCTGCTGTAAACACCCTCGCTCCGCCACATGCGCGAGGGTTACATTGTCTCGTGTCAGGAGGGCCTGGCCGAGCGGCCGAGCTCGCCTCGGGGCCGCCTGGCGGGTAGGCAGCCGGTGCTGGCCTCGCGCGCGCCCGTGCGGCGGCCGGCCTATGCTGAGCCTGGCAGGCGCCCGCGGCCGGCTCACGAGCTCACGGGCTGGACGCGTCAGAACACATACGTCTCTACTCGGTCCGGGGGAGAGGCTCCAATCAACGTACTAGCAGTCACACCTACTCGCCCAGGAACACACTGGAAATCCAAATGCGCGAATGTTGAATGTCGCACACTTGCAGATGTGTGAACGATATTCGTACACAAAAAGGCGCGAGAGTGTGAATTTGAAAGGAAAATCGAAAAATTCTCACCTTTACTTCCTTCGGTATACGAAAGGCAAAATGAATGGCATTCATACCTTGAGGTGTGCGACATTCACACGATTGCGGTAGTAGAGTGGATGTGGGTCAAGCAATGACAGGAGCAGGAAGTAGTTGCCTATATAATGTTGTTTATAGTCTGAAACGTCCTAGGAAGTTGAACACTCTGGCTATTTGGTCTGGGTAAGTAGAATGTTCCGGGTATTGTCCCTAACTCTAGCACAAACTTTGAAATATAAACCAACATTCCACTACTCGCTGCGTGTGTGCTCGTTCGGCCGTACTCGCTCATGCGGGGCGTCCATTATGAAATACGTGCACAAGGGCCACGGGCTCGAGCACGGGTTTACTGTACTGTACGGCTCAGTTAAAAGTAGGATGTTAAAAGTAGAATGTAAAAACTGCAATTTTTAACTGCAATTCTAAACTGTCCAGGTAGCAAAAGGAAGCAAACTGCATTCGAACCATATGTCCTATCTGAAACGCAGGGCGCATATTAGGCGCCGGCACGCGTTTTAGCGCGTTTTAGGCGCGTTTCGGATTGGGCACAAAATGCACATTTTATGCAGCTCTGCTACAGGGGTGATACTTTCCACCATTTTAAATAGGTCATTGCTTTGAAAAGCAGCATGAAAAATGTTGAAAATCTGAATGACATTAATGGTGTTTTTTCTCTAGGTTTGCGTAAACAAGCAGTTAGGGGAAAAGCGCGCGCAGGACGATGTCAACACGCCACCAGATAACGCAACGGGCTACGGGGAGCCTCGGCGCGCGACGGCCGCGTGCCTCGGGGCCTAAATGAGCAGCGCCAGGCGCCGTGCCGCGCGCGCCGCGTCGATAGCGACAATCTTTACGGTTATGCGGCGGCGCCCCGGTGTTTGACGCCGTGGCAGAGCCTCCTGTTGGTGCAACGCTTCTGGGCCGAAGAGAAAACGGGATGAGGTGAGGGGGGTTGGGGGGAGGGGGCGTTCCACCCGCTGCTGCTGATCCTGCCCGTCAGCGTGGCCCGGCCGGGCACGACCACCAGGGCGATCTCAAAGGCGTTATGCCCCGCTTTATTGGGTGAGCAAGACAATGAGACTGCTCCCCCCCCCCTTTTCTTCCTCCTACCCCAATCCGCGCCGCCGCTACCAACCATCCGCCTCTTTCATCTAAATTGAGGCAGGCGCATGATGTCCCCCCTCCCCTTCTCCCCTCCCTGCTGCGCCGCTAGAAAACAGAACGGAGCAAAGCTGGTTTAAGCGTTCGCGACTGCACGGTAAAAACAAGGGGTATTGTTGAAAATCGAAGTGTTTGACTTATTCAAATTTACAATGTAGGAAACTGTAATTTTGGGTCACGCCACCATACAATTTACAATAACGTAATTGTAACTTGCTGTTCCTAATAACTGTCTAACAAACTGTTGTTAAATTGTAGATTTTTTACCAGTGACAGCGTTACAGGCAGCCAATGGTTATCAGTTAGGGACAAAGTCGGAGAGCAAGCTAATAATGGTGACCGCGAAGTGCGCTGGTGGGAGCGAGAGGGAGAGGCAAGGGGGAGAGAGAGAGAGGGGGGGGGGGACGCCTATAACGGCAGTTAGCCTGACTTTGTTTAGGAAGCGTAGCAGCCGGATTTGTTTTCCCTACGCGAGCCGCTCATATCCGGTGAGCCGTGGCGGACCGGAAGTAACGCCAGGAACCCCTCACCCTCATCCCAACCCCAACCCCGGCAGTACGCCACCACGAGTTTGGGAACAGCATCCCTTGTGGGCATGGCCGCCCGGCCCCGCTGCTCCCGACTGCAACATTTTCAATTTAAGATTCGCCGAGGGCGGCGGTGCGGGACCGGGACAGAGCGGGGACGAGGAAGTGGTTGCGAGGAGACGCACCGGCAAAAGCAAGCGCGACCGGCTGCCTCTGTGCGATGTGCAGGTCGGGGGCCCGGGGGCTTGGGGGTGGTGCCGTCTCTCTCTCTCTCTCTCTCTCTCTCTCTCTCTCTCTCTCTCTCTCTCTCTCTCCCTCTCACACAAACACACACCACACAAGCTCGCAGAGTCTCTCTGATATTATTGGCACTGCACGCGTAACCGTTTCGCGTTAGGTACTCCCCATGTAGCAACTCTCTGATGCTAAATTTTTAGTGCCCCTATATAAAGGGCACTAAAATTATTAGCGCCCCTAAAATGCGCGTTTCCAGTGTGGGTATGCGCGTGCTCATACCCGACGGCTACACGAGCACAAAGAATTATTCATCATTTCAAAAGAGAATTTAATATACAGAGAGGGTTGCAAAGTGAATGTACTGTAATCTAATTCATCTCACGGTGCGCGCGCGTCTTTTCTCGTCGTGATTCGGTTTTATCTGAACAGAGCCGAGCTATACGTAAAAAAAACGAGGAAGAGAGAGATTGCAGAGAAATGGAACAGGGCATTTATTATGTGACCAGGTCGTGGGGATGCTACAGTATTGCAATCTTCCTGAATTATGTCAGCACAGAAAATACGATGAGCCTTTGTTGTGCAGTAACACGCAAGAGTGAGCGTCGAGAGAAACCAAATATTTTGCGTGGTGGTGCAGTGCACTGGTAAATAAAGTTCTCAACCCTACGGTGTGCACTTTTTAGTGTTTGACTCGAGGGGGAAACGACTGTTAAACTTTGTGTCAGCCGGATTACGGATTACCCGGATTACCTCCGAGCAGGTGTCCTCCGGATTACGTTGCTTTTTCTCTAGCATTACCCCGGATTACCCCAAAATTTTCCCCGATTACCCCAAAATTTCCCCGGATTACCCCGGATTTTTTAGAATTTTCTCGGATTACCCCTTCCGGATTACCTAACGGCTGTCAGCCGGATTACCTAAGTCGTTTCCCCCTCGGTTTGACTGGACATTATTTGAATCATTTGAAAACTAGAAGCTGTTTCACAGTCAAGTTGAACACCTTAAAAGTTTGAACTTCAGACTTCAGGGTTGGCTATGAAGCTTTGGACACACTTTAAAGTATTCAAATTTACTGTTGAACACTTTTAAGCATTCAAATTTCTGGTCCAACACCCAAGGGTGTGCACCGTAGAGTTGAACACTACCATGTGCGTGCCAGTTGCACACTTCCGTTTCTAGTGTGGTTGTGATGGTGGTGGTGCCGGTGGTGGTGGTGGTGGTGGTGGCCCGCGCGACATGCGCCCAGTGTCAACTCGCTCGCACTACATCACCGGCGCCAGGCACCAAGCCACCCCGGCTCGCCGCGCGGTCCGCCAAACACACGAGGGGGGCTTCGCGGCCTCGGCGGGACCGCGGCGTGTTATTCTTTCCGCGGGCACACCAAGCACCCCGACAGCCAGTCAGGGCTGTCTGTCTGCATGCATAAGCCAGGACGAGACGGCCCCGGCGGGCGGGCGGCAGCGGGCGGCCACGGCTGGGTAAACTGTGGCGCTGTGCGGTGCGGGGCGGCAGAGGAGAGGGAGAGAGAGACAGAGAGAGAAGAGGCGCAGCAGAGGTTTAAAAAGCGAGAGATATGGCATGAGCTTCCGGCTCGTTAGGTTTGAGGTACCGTGCCATCCTCTGCCCCGCCCCGCCCCGTCCCGCCACGCC